TTTAAAATATAAATTTTAATATTTTTTATTTAAAAATTTATTAGATGATGTTAATGGCGTGGTAGACAGGAATCTTAATTAAAATATGACAAAATTTGAAATTTTAAATTAAAAAAAAAAAGAGAAAATTTTATATCTTTATTAAAAAAATAAAAATTTATCACCTTATTTTAAAACTTAACCAATAATCTAAATAATTTAGTGATCATTTTTTTTTTTTTGAATAGTAAGATATCATAAATTCGAGTCGTATAGCATACGGGTAAAGTAAGATAAAAGATGAGATATCATTACCTTTTATTATGTAACTAAAATAAAAAAATAAAAAAATAAAAAATAAAACTCAAAATGCTCATATTTTTAAATAAAAAATTATAAGATTCGTATCCTTACCCATATTCCCTCTCTTTAAACCTATGAGAAATGTTATTTGCAAGTGCAACTAGCACTTAGATCATAATTACCCTGATTATTTTTTTAATTAAAAAAAATAAAAATTTTAAAAATGAAAAGAAAAATGAAGGAGACCAATGAAGAGAAAAGTGCTTGTGCACTCAACTCCACGCGAGTGCCAAATGACTAACTCTTCCACGTAAAACATTTATAATGATAAAAAATTAACTTTATGATTAAAAAAACTATTAGAAAGCTGAAGTCTTCCTTAAACTATTTAATATATGATAAAATCCTTCTTTACCAATAAAATATGACATTTTCCCGGCACCAAATCTGTCAAGGATCCCAAATCTTCAAATCAAAGACTTGAAAACCCCAAAAATGGTTCAACTTTGGAGGGTAAAATCAGAGAAGAGCACAGGGCCAATGAGTTGGTAAAAGGTTGGAGAACTATTTAGTCACATGAAGATGCAAAGAGGAGAACACTATCGAAGTCAAGATTTTTGGTGTGCCTAGAAGAAGAGAAAAATCAAAACGAGTGGATAAGAAACAATAAATTTAGAATAATTGGCGAGAGAGACAGAAGCAATTAGCATTTTTCTATTTTGCAAGTGGAAGGGTGAGTCAAGGTTATGTGATGTATATCCTCCTGTCGCCCACCTAAAGAAACGCATTAGGAAAGAAACGCGTAAAGTTGGGCTGACTTGGTTACAGCTTGGACCTGGTTACAAGTTGGACTCGGTCACAGCTGGTCCACTCTATTTCCTCTGTTCTATTTGTGACCCACTCGCACCCTAGGCGAGTGTGGGACACCACTTCCTTTGTCTACAATGGCTAAATATTCAAATTAGGTCCTTTCCTTGTTGAGAGGGTTTAATCTGACACTTCATGTTTTATTATTCCTTTTAGCTTAATTCATATTAGATCGATTGCTGCCTAAAAATGAAAAAGAAAAAAACCTCATTACAGTTGATTATAATTCTTTTGAAATTCATATTTTTTTTCTTAAATATCATGTAAGTATGGAACACATGTTAAGGATTATTGATTTTTATGGCAAAAAATAAAAATAATTGACTTTAGATATGGGTATGGGGCTAATACTAACATGGTCCCATGGCTAAGCTTACGACCACCCTATAACTAAGTATGCCAATGGTTGATCACTTGTCAATCTTGATAAAATTGAGGATTAATCAAAGCATGCTCAAAATTGAAAATTTTTTTAATTGAATTTTAATTTTATTATATTTTTCTTTTGATATTATTATTTTGTTTTAAATGTTATCATTAGTAACTTATTATATTATGGGGAAAATGCATTTCAGTTTTGACTTCCAAGGAAGTCCCAATCTTAAATTACATCTTTACTCAACTCAAAATTTAAAAAATTATCTTATAAAATATTGATATATTAGAATATATAATAAGTTTTTAAATTTAGATATCACATTTAATAGAATAAAATTTCAGTTTTCAAATATAAGTTAAAACTTTAATTGTTTTCGGGAGTTAAAATTGATATGCACTAACCTTTTATATTGTTTTTAATCAATAACTTGCTATATTAATTTATATTATGAACTTGGCAATTTTTTTTCTATCTTATTTATGTTGCTAAAACAAAATAATAATAATAATAATAATAAATGTTATTTAGCTAGAATCATCCTACAAAATATGTAGGGTCTAGTTACGAGCATAAGCCTAAATGATTGAGGGTTAATTAGACTTGCTCAAAATCAACTTGTAGCCATACCTAATTGACTCTTAGAGATCATTTTTGACATACAATAGAAAGCTAGGAAAAACTTGATAAATGAAATATCATGAACAAAGCTGATTTTACAATCATATGTAGCAATAAATTAGCAATTGGATAAACTAAAATCACAAAATTGTAGTCCAAGTACATAAAAAATAGTTAGTTCATATGTAGGTGGGAAATTTGTCCCTAATACATGCATGTTCATCTTAGAATCTATTCCAAAAGAGTTTATGACCATCTTAAATACGAGAGTAGTTCATTGTACCAAAAAAATGAGAATAGTGAATTCATACATAAAAGTTTTTTTTTTTTTTTTTTTTTGCCAACATAAAACATAAAAGGTTGAATAACTTGAATTCACTTTTCTAAAGTATGAGGACTACTTCGAACATTTGACCCTTCAAAAAGAGAAACTGGATAGGAATGAAATGAAACATAGGTGCGGCGCGTGAAAATAAGTTCTGTACTCACACGCACTCGCGATGGCCAACCGGCGAAAGCGGTAATATATTGGTGACAAAGGTGGGCCCACAAATTTGAAACTCGTTTTTTCTTTTGCATTTGCATTTACATTTGAATTTGAGTTTCATTTCATATACATTTGAACATTTTACCGGTAATCAAACAAGGACGCTCCTTGATGGAGAGGTAGCCTTCACTTTGACTTTGACCAAAGAGTGGAGAGAGAAAGAGGTAAAGAAGAAAAGTCTCACTTTCCTCTCTTCTTCCTCAATCCAACCCCAAAATAAAAGCCCATATAACCTGCTCCATTCTTCAGCAGCTTAACAACCTTGTTAACCCTTGTTTTGTTCTCTCCGGGGAGCTAAATCAAAGGTATGTTTGTTTCCTCAATGGAAGCTAAATCAAATTTATGCTCTTAAATCAGTGGTTTTGATGGGTGTTTTGGGGGGTTTGTTGGTGGGTTTGGGGTTTTCTGGGTTAAAGTTGCTGAATTTGTGTCTGGGATTTCTTTGGTTTGTGGTGTTTTTACTCTCTTGTTCTGGATCTCTTTAGTGGTTTAGATGGTATTTTGAAGTGTCATTACTTGGCTTATGGGTTTAAAGTTATCTGCTTTTTGTGAATTGAGGCATGAATTATGAAAAAGATGTTAGATTTACTAATTCTCTGACCTGGGTTGTGCCATAAATGATCGTTCTTTGGCGTCTGATTTTCTGAGACTTCGTTTTAGATTTTGGGTTGTGGCGTGGCTCGGATTTTATCTTCTTTCTTGTATAGGCACCATTTCCTCGGTAGCCATAGGGGCTGTTGGTTTTTGGATTTGATTAAATTGTGGTTCAGATTCTCTATAATCAACCTTTTCCCTTTGAGTAACATATTGGATTTCTATTTCTATATTTGTGCAGGGCTATTTGGTATTTGTGGTGGCTCAAAGTCAAAGAGCGAATTTTGTTCCTCAGGCGTTCTCATGGAGGCTGAATTCCCCAAGAAAAAAGATGGGAGCTCAAGTAAATGCTCAGTTTTGCTTGAATTGGCTGCATCTGATGATCTTGCAGCCTTCAAAGGTGAAGTAGAAGAGAAGGGTTTCGGCCTTGATGAGGCAAGCTTTTGGTATGCTAGAAGTATTGGGTCTAAAAAGATGGGTTTTCAAGAGAGGACTCCGCTCATGGTTGCTGCCATGTATGGTAGCTCTGAGGTTTTGAAGTATATCATTGCAAACGGCAGGGTTGATGTAAATAGAGCTTGTGGTATTGATGGGGTCACTGCTCTTCATTGTGCTGTTGCTGGTGGTGCCAATTCTTCTGTGGAGATAGTCAAGCGTTTGCTTGATGCATCAGCTGATGCTGGGTGTGTTGATGCTAATGGGAACAAACCCATTGACCTTGTTCCTCCATATTTGAAGTCGCTATGCAATTCTAGAAGAAAGGTGGTAGAGGCCCTGCTGAAAGGAGACAAGTTAATTGGGATTAGTGATGATAACCAGGAAGAAGTACCAGAGAAAATGATTGCATGTCAGTTGTCAAAAGATGGGACTGAGAAGAAAGAATATCCAATTGATGTGTCACTGCCTGATATAAACAATGGGATTTATGGGACTGATGAGTTCAGAATGTATACTTTCAAAGTAAAGCCATGCTCAAGGGCCTACTCCCACGATTGGACAGAGTGCCCATTTGTTCATCCTGGCGAGAATGCCAGGAGGAGAGACCCAAGGAAGTACCCTTACAGCTGTGTGCCTTGCCCAGAGTTCCGAAAGGGTTCATGTCCTAAGGGTGATGCTTGTGAGTATGCTCATGGCGTGTTTGAATCCTGGCTTCATCCTGCCCAGTACAGAACTCGGCTCTGCAAGGATGAGGTTGGTTGTAACCGCAAAGTTTGCTTCTTTGCTCATAAACCTGAAGAACTTCGACCTGTGTACGCGTCCACAGGGTCAGCCATGCCTTCACCAAGGTCTGCTGCAGTCTGTGCAGTTGACATGGCAACACTGAGTCCTCTGGTGCTTGGTACATCTTCCTTGCCGTTGCCTACCACTTCAACCGCACCTATGTCTCCCCTGGCCGCCTCTTCTTCACCAAAGAGTGGAGGCTTGTGGCAGAACAAAGTTAACCTTACTCCCCCTGCCTTGCAGTTGCCAGGAAGTCGATTGAAGACAGCTTTCAGTGCAAGGGATTTAGATTTAGGGATGGAATTCCTAGCACTAGAAAATCAGAACAGCCAATTGCAGCAGCAGCAGTTGATGGATGAGATATCAGCTCTCTCCTCCTCCTGCTGGAGCAAGGAGTTCAGTAGGGTTGGAGATTTGAAGCCTAGTAACCTTGATGATGCCTTTGGATCCCTTGATTCTTCCATGTTGTCTCCATTGAAAGGACTGTCAGTGAAATCTGCAACACCTACTCAGTTGCAATCTCCGACAGGGCTTCAAATTCGCCAAAACATGAACCAACTTCGTGCAAGCTACCCAACAAACCTTTCATCCTCTCCTGTGAGGAAACCCCCATCATTTGGTTTTGACACATCTGCTGCTGTGGCAGCAGCAGTAATGAATTCCAGGTCCTCTGCATTTGCAAAGCGGAGCCAGAGTTTCATTGATCGTGGAGTAGTAACTAGCCATGTTGGGCTTACTGCAGCTGCTAATTCTGCATCGATGATGTCCACAAATCTCTCTGACTGGAGCTCCCCTGATGGGAAACTAGATTGGGGAATCCAAGGAGATGAACTCAATAAGCTAAGGAAGTCTGCATCATTTGGGTTTCGAAACAACAGTCCTCCAAAGACCCAGATGATGCCAGTGAATGCTGATGAACCAGACGTATCTTGGGTTCATTCTCTAGTGAAAGATGTCAATCCGGTGGGAGGTGCGTTGTTCGGCACTGAGAATCAGCAACAGCAGTACAGCACTGGCAAAGGTACCCGTGAGAAACTTCCACCATGGGTAGAGCAAATGTACATAGAACAGGAGCAGATGGCATAATGAAGATCCATTTGCACGGAGATTCATTCTAACTAATCTGGATACTTGAATTCTTATCAATATTCATGGTAGGTATTATTGATAGACTGCGAACAAGAATAGGTTTTCAAGAACCAAAAATATGAGCAAGAAGAAAACATTCTTTGCTCATACTACAATTAGGAAGAATTTATTGATTATTTTATATTCTTAATTATTTTTTTCCCTCCCTCTTGGGAAATTATTTATGTTTCTTAGTAATAAGAAGCTACAATGA